TATGTTGTGATGGTGTCCCAATCATGTTGTGACGGTGTCTCGGTCATGTTTTGATGGTGCCCTGGTCATTTTGTGATGGTGTCCCGGTTATGTGATGATCGTGTCCAAGGAAGAGATGGTCGATGTGTTGAAAACAGCAGCTGTTTCCAGATTTTTCTTTTTGTCCCGGTTTGTATCTTGCTATTGGGGTCTCCAGTCAATCCCCATCTTGAACATCGACATGCAAAACATGGATTGTGTTTTCAAGAAGTCTCCTGTAGGTCGACGCCGGTACGCTCCTTTAGTTGCTGCCTCCCAAGCTCTTAAGTTGAGCATAGTGCAGCAGCAGTCTAGTTCTAAGTCAGAGCATATGTGTGACAATTTGTTTTTGCGTCACATGGCAGGCGCACAACAAGATTTCTCGGTCTGCACTTTGACCAGCCTTGGACAGTTGACAACATTCAAACCCAGCACAGTGTCTGTGTCTCTTCTTTGAATATGTGTCGGTCTCCTCTGCCAACCCCCGCTTTGATTGTTACATGATCAGCCACATTTGAGCAGCCGGCAGCAGCAAAGAACTTTTCGACAAAGCTCCTGAAGGAGTCCTCCCAGTTGGCAGGACACAACCCTTCGGCATAACTTGTAGACTTTTTCGCAGAAGGTATCTTCGATCTTGTGCATTGCCAATCAGGCACTCACACCCAGTGGCACTCAGTTGAATGATGAGGGCTGGATCTTCTGACCTTTTCCAGCTCGGTGATGTCTGTTTCGTACTCCATCTCCTGGGGTTCCAAAACGTGTGGCACTCATCAGGAAGGATGAAACATGTACCCACATGTAACCTTGAGCCAACTAAGATGCTTATGTCAGGGTTGTACGGTTGTACACATGGAAACACATTTCTATTTGTGAAGGATTTAGAGTTCACTCATCACATATGACAGAATCGTGCTAGGAATCCTCTTTAGAACATGAATAACATGAAAGTATTTGTTTGGGTCCATAGAGAAAAACTATCGAATTGCAGGAGTTGTTCTTTAGTTTCGAGTTCTTCTTCTTCGCCTTCTTTTCCTCTTCCTCTTCTTCATCTTCTTCTTTCAAGTTCAGTTTAACACCCTTGGACTCACAACATGACCGGGACACCATCACAACATGACCGGGACACCATCACAACATGACCTGGACACCATCACAACATGACCGGGACACCATCACAACATGACCACAACATGACCGGGACACCATCACAACACAACCGGGACACCATCACAACATGACCGGGACACCGTCACAACATGACCGGGACACCATCACAACATGATCGGGACACCATCACAACATGACCACAACATGACCGGGACACCATCACAACACAACCGGGACACCATCACAACATGACCGGGACACCGTCACAACATGACCGGGACACCATCACAACATGATCGGGACACCATCACAACATGACCACAACATGACCGGGACACCATCACAACACAACCGGGACACCATCACAACATGACCAAGAAACCATCACAACATGACCGGGACACCGTCACAACATGACCGGGAAAACATCACAACATGCCCGGGACACCGTCACAACATGACCGGGACACCATCACAACATGACCGGGACACCGTCACAACATGACCGGGACACCATCACAACATGACCGAGACACCATCACAACATGACCGGGACACCGTCACAACATGACCGGGACACCATCACAACATGACCGAGACACCATCACAACATGACCGGGACACCGTCACAACATGACCGGGACACCATCACAACATGACCGAGACACCATCACAACATGACCGGGACACCGTCACAACATGACCGGGACACCATCACAACATGACCGAGACACCATCACAACATGACCGGGACACCGTCACAACATGACCGGGACACCATCACAACATGACCGAGACACCATCACAACATGACCGGGACACCGTCACAACATGACCGGGACACCATCACAACATGACCGAGACACCATCACAACATGACCGGGACACCGTCACAACATGACCGGGACACCATCACAACATGACCGAGACACCATCACAACATGACCGGGACACCGTCACAACATGACCGGGACACCATCACAACATGACCGAGACACCATCACAACATGACCGGGACACCGTCACAACATGACCGGGACACCATCACAACATGACCGAGACACCATCACAACATGACCGGGACACCGTCACAACATGACCGGGACACCATCACAACATGACCGAGACACCATCAAAACATGACCAGGACACCGTCAAAACATGACCAGGACACCGTCAAAACATGACCGGAACACCATCCACCCACCAGCTCTGATGGTCACCCGACGGCGTCCGTCCGCCTACAGTATTAGTTTCGCAAGACCCCATAACATGGCTATTGGGGAATCATTAGA